CGGAGACTTTCTTAAACAATTTACAATACTGCAACGCAGTATAAGCTGGAAATTGTTGATTTTAATAGTTTTTTCATAAGCCTTCAGTCAAATAATTTTGTCTTTTAATGTTAAATTGGTTCGTTGTATTCCAGGGATATATAATAATAGCAATTCTTTTATACTTATGTAGCTAATAGCACTACTGATGTTAATAATTCATTAGGAACTAAAAAAAATATATTAAACAAGTCAGATCTAAAATAATGAGAAGGAAAAATAAAGAAAAAATAACATCAATAACAACACCAAGTTTAATAATAATAATAATAATATTATTATTTTATTATTATTATTATTATTATTATTATTATTATTATTATTATAAGGATATACGAAAATTAAAACACCCTTATTGCATTAATCTTTTAATTTCGTCTTTAAACTTAAAGTCCATCAACTTGATGTATGTAGTATATGTCGTACCTAATGAAGCCTAATTAGTCATCCAAAGTGTCCTAAACTTTTCTTCTGTGGATTAATAAAAATATATTTTCCTTGAAAATGGAGATTATTTTTCTTAAATTTGCATCAAACCTAGACTAGAAATCTGGCCTAATCTCTCATAATTCTACCAAGCATATCGTAGATGAGTTTAAATTGATTTAATATTAACTAAAATCAATGATAAATATTATTTCGTTATGTTCAGACTGATTTTCGAAGATTTGTTGCATAATCAGAATTTTCTCTCAACTTATTCGGCAGAAATTACCCTTGATTTTTAGGTGATACTCGCCGATTCAGTTTGTGTGTGTGTGTGTGTGTGTGTGTGTGGTGTGTGTTTCTCACCTAATTGTACTCACCTATTTGTGGTTGCAGGGGTAGAGACTCACCTCCTGGCCCCGCCTCTTCGCTGCTCGCTACTAGGCCCTCTCTCTCCCTGTTCCAAGAGCTTTATCATACCTCGTCTTAAAGCTATGTATGGTTCCTGCCTCCACTACATCACTTGCTAGACTATTCCACTTCCTGACTACTCTATGACTGAAGAAATACTTTCTAACATCCCTTTGACTCATCTGGGTCTTCAACTTCCAATTGTGACCCCTTGTTTCTGTGTCCCATCTCTGGAACAACCTTCTCTGTCCACCTTGTCTATTCCACGTAGTATTTTGTATAACGTTATCATGTCTCCCCTAACCCTGCTGTCCTCCAGTGTCGTCAGGCCGAGTTCCCTTAACCTTTCTTTGTAGGACATTCCCCTTAGCTCAGGAACTAACCTTGTCGCAAACCTTTGCAATTTCTCTAATTTCTTGACGTGCGTGACCCCGTGTGGCTTCCAAACTGGTGTTGTGTGTGTGTGTGTGTGTGTGTGTGTGTGTGTGTGTGTGTGTGTGTGTGTGTGTGTGTGCGCGTGTGTCAGTACACACTTATACATACTATATTTTCAACATCTCTTCTTTATGTTCTCTCTTTCCATCATCTCCTGTTTTTCTTCCATTCCATTTTCAGCTCACACCCACACCCGCGGCTTCCCTCCCACATGTACCTGTGGCAGCAGCCACAAAAATCAATAGTCCTTCAAGGAGTTAGAAAAAAGGAAAAAGTGGAAGTTTAGGCAGTCGTTTATCTCAGTTACTGTTCCTTCTTACTTCTCTGCCTCCTTGACCCACCATTATTTTTTTTCTCTTAGACCCACAATTACTTTTCTCCTCTTAGACGCACCAATATTTTTTCTCCCAGTGGGAAAAATTGTTAGCGGATTATTCGGAAGAAAATTTAAGCTACACAAATTGTTGTAGTTATATTTTTAAGGGAAGCATTACGACCATTGCGGGCCAGAAAAAAACCTGGAGAATAGAAGTTAATCACCTTTGAATAAAGGAAAATGGTGGTAGTTTTAATTCGTTTAGATCAAGACATCTTCACTACAATCCAGACATTCCCTCTGGAAGAATACATGTTGAAAAATATTCAAATAGAGACATAGGATATGTTGGAAAAAATTGGGAAAAAATAGACTGTTTTTTAATATTTTTATTTCTTGGTATAATAGTGTGTGTGTACTCACCCAGTTGTACTCAGCAAGTTGTGTTTGCAGGGGTCGAGTCACAGCTCCTGGCCCCGTCTCTTCACTGGCCGCTACTAGGACACTCTTCCTGCTCCATGAGCTTCATCATACCTCTTCTTAAAGTTATGTATGGATCCTGCCTCCACTACATAACTTCCCAGATTATTTCACTTCCTCATAACTCTGTGACTGAAAAAATACTTCCTAACATCCCTGTGATTCATCTGAGTCTTCAACTTCCAACTGTGACCCCTTGTTGCTGTGTCCTATATCTTGAACATCCTGTTTCTGTCCTTGTCGATTCCTCTCAGTATTTTATATGTCGTTATCATATCACCCCTATCTCTTCTCTCTTCCAGTGTCGTCAGTGTGTGTGCACTCACCTAGTTGTACTCGCGTAATTGAGGTTGCAGGGGTCGAGACTCAGCTTCTGGCCCCGCCTCTTCACTGAGTGCTACTAGGTCCTCTCTCTCCTTACTCCACGAGCTTTATCACACCTCATCTTAAAGCTGCGTATGGTTCCTCCCTCCACTACCTCACTTGCTAGACAATTCAATTGCTGACTACTCTATGACTGAAGAAATACTTCCTAACATCCCTTTGACTCATCTTGGTCTTCAACTTCATATCGTGACCCCTTGTTTCTGTGTCCCCTCTCTGGAACATCCTGTCTCTGTCCACCTTGTCTATTCCACGCAGTATTTTGTATGTCGTTATCATGTCTCCCCTGACCCTCCTGTCCTTCCAGTGTCGTCAGTGCCGATTTCCCTTAACTTTTCTTCATAGGACATTTCCCTTAGTTCTGGAACTAACCTTGTCGCAAACCTTTGCACATTCTCTAATTTCTTGACGTGCTTAATCAAGTATTGGTTCCAAACAGGTGCTGCATACTCCAGTATGGGCCTGACGTAGCACGGTGTACAGTGTCTTGAACGATTCCTTACTAAGGTATCAGAATCGCTGTTCTCAGGTTTGCCAGGCGCCCATATGCTGCAGCAGTTATCGGGCTGATGTGTGCTTCCGGAGACATGCTCGGTGTTATACTCGCCCCAGGATCTTTCTCCTTGAGCGAGGTTTGCAGTCTTTGGCCACCTAGCCTATACTCCCTCTGCGGTCTTCTTTGTCCTTCCCCGATCTTCATGACTTTGCATTTAGCGGGGTTAAATTCAAGAAGCCAGTTGCTGGACCAGGTGCCCAGCCTGTGTGTGTGTGTGTACTCACCTAGTTGAGGTTGCAGGGGTCGATTCCGAGCTCCTGGCCCCGCCTCTTCACTGGTCGCTACTAGGTCACTCTCTCTGAACCGTGAGCTTTATCATACCTCTGCTTAAAGCTATGTATGGATCCTGCCTCCACTACATCGCTTCCCAAACTATTCCACTTCCTGACTACTCTGTGTGTGTGTGTATGTGTGTGTGTATGTGTGTGTGTGTATGTGTGTGTGTGTGTGTGTGTGTGTGTGTGTGTGTGTGTGTGTGTGTGTGTGTGCGCGCGCATGTGTGTAAGAGAGGGTGTTTGTGTAAAACTTACAATATAAACACTTCCAAAAATACATTTTTCCTGTGGTAAAACAGTTTCAGGTACATCGTAAAACCTTTCCTCTTGAAGTCCTCTGCAACAACGAAAAATAATTGCTAACTTTCCTATGACTTTCAAGTTTC